GGGCGGGGGGTGTTAAATGGGCAGCTACCAACAATGAGAACAAAGAAAAGTTTCTGACATTAATTGTGGGGATTTCACTAATCTTCTTAATCGGATGGAATGATTAAATTGTATGATTCGTGAAGTATATGCCAATAAAACTTTTTTTTTTTAAGTTTGATGGTTCAAACCAGCCTTAGCCTGGAAGAAAGATGTGGCTGTCTGCTCCCATAAAGATTTACAATCCCAGAAATCCTCAACAGGGGTCACTTGAGTACAAAGTGACTTGGTAGAAGTCGGTCATGTTATCGTAAGGGAAGGGAAAGGTTGGGACAGGGACGAGTAGACAGAAGCCCCTTTGGTGCCATCCATGATTGACAATACAGATATAGAACAAGTAGACCAGAAAACTGCAGGATGAATATCCCTTTAAACCTAGTAGCTGCGGGTGAGTGAGTATACAAACTGAGAGGTTGGCAGTTTGAACCCACCCAGAGACATTCTGGGAGAAAGGCCTGGTGATCTGCATTGGCCAACCCAGCCACAGAGTCCACCCATTTGAACCCCCAGTCCCGAGTCTACCCCCACTCACAGAATTGCCAAGAGTCGCAATCAACTCAAAGGAACCAGGTGTAGGGATTTTCATTTTTTAGGAATTTTTTTAAGAGTTTTATTTTTTAAGTAGATACATTATACAAGCTTTTACAAACATAGACTTATAGACGTGCATAGCCAGCACCTGGATGGAGAACAGAATATCCCAAGCACCTCCAAACATGCCTCTGAGCCCTTCCCTGTCACCAGCCGCAGCTCTGTGCGAGCAAGATGAGGCTTTCTACTCCCGCAAACAGTTACCATGTCGGAGATCCCCAGGGCGGTTCTACACTGTCCTACAGGGTCGCTATGACTCAGCATCAACTCGATGGCAGTGAGTTTGGTTTGGTTTTGAATGTCAAATCAATGGGACCCACCGTATGTGTCATCCTTCACTCAGTGTGGTGTTTGTGAGCTGGCTCCGTGTTGATAGGGTAGTTCATGCTTATTGCTGAGAGAATCCTGCTGTGTGAATACACCGCCATCTGTTTACCCTTCCTACTGCTGAGGGCCTCTGGGTAGTTCCTAGGCTTTTCGCCTCTTCCAGTGAACATGTGGATGTATGTACCGGGAGTGGACCTACTGAGTCAGATGATGGCCTTACATTCAGTTTTAGTAGATAGGGCCCCACATTTTTCCAAAATGCTTGTACCCATTGAC